GAAAAGCCTTATAATTTTTGCTTACTAAGTGGGTTTTGTGAACAGTAGGGAAGTTGAAAGCTATGTGGGTAGCTCTGTCCAGGGAGGTTTTAAAAACTGAAATTCATAACCTAAGGAGTGTGTTCAGGAAATATTTATTATCTTATTTTTTTGGCTGGTTGTCATGACCTTGAGAATTTAAGCACCAACTTGTGCTGCTGCCCTCGTGGTGAAGAAGAGGGCATGCGGGGAGGGGGTGAGTGTCCCTGGCATGATCTCATTTTGGTTTGGCTGGGAATGCAATCTTGGGGGCAGATAGCACTCTCAGAAATCCTTGTCTTTGGAGCTAAAAGGCTGCTATCCCATTCCTCCCTCTGGTCACCTCTGACTCTTCTGAGGCTTGCCACACCACTGAGTCGGGTGTGTGCTGGACAGCATTTGATTTCTCCTCTCCACCAGGGCTGCTTAGGGTAACTGGTTAGAAGTTCCTCTGCACAGGTGATCACCTGACCCTGGGACATAGGACTTTCAGTGCTAAAGCTGACACGTTCACAGCAAACCAGGATGATTGGTCAACCTGTGGCCCTAACTGTAGGGTTTGCAGCTGGTGCTGGTAGGGGTGTCATGGAGGTCATTTAGGAGTTTGGAGCAGAGCCTTCCATTCCTGGTATGTATTCAACAAGAATGGTTAATGGTTCTCTCCTTAACTAGCAGGCAGAGACTAATCTGGTTTGGAATCTGTTTGGCTAGGCTGAGCAAGCTTACAGCTTAATTGAGTTTCTCAGTTTATGGCTGCTTAGTGGGGACAGTGGCTGCCTAGTGAGAATGGAGCTTAAGAGGTCAGATTTGGAGCCTGGCTGTGTCCACTTATGATCTAAAACTTAAGAATGGGTGATTTTTTTCCCCCCTTGGGAGTGGGTGATTTTTATCTTTTTTTCTTCTCTGGAACGAATCAGGGCTTGGAAAATACCAAGGACATAATGCTAATTTGCTGCTGTCCTGCTGGGGACAGGAGAGGGGAAGAGAGAGGAAGGGAAGAGGAGCATGCTTTCTAGAACTCAGCCTCGTGAAGGAGGAGGTTAATAAGCTTGTAGTCGGAAGGGCTTTCCTTGTTGAGAGCAAACAGGTAGCTTGGGAGTAGGGCCCCTGATGGTGGAGGCTCTTGGTGGTTTCTGCATGTGGACAGGGATGAGAAAGGGCGACCCACTGTCCCAGTGTAAACATCGAAAGCCTTGTGTCCTGGAAACCCCTTGGTCCTCGGCAAACCTGGATGACTGGGTGCCCTAGTGGAGGGACAAGGCCCGAGGCAATGGGCAGAGTGGCGCCTGATTACAGGCTGGTGAGGAGAGATGAAGCTAAGACTCGGAACTGTTTTGGAAGATGGTCAGGGTCCAGAATTTAAATCTCTTCGGGAAAGAAAAAGACTTTTGTAGTGGCCCGAGTCAAGAAAAGAAATGTATCTGCAGCCCGTGTCTTCCTGGGCACACCCTCGTGGATGGGAACAGCTGGAATCTGGCTGGTCCAGACATTCCCTGGGAGCCGGGGGAGCAGCTGAGAGCAAGCCCAGGATGTGGCAGTTGTTTGGGGGTGAAATGGATGTCGTGGGCCCTGAGCTAAGCAGCCTCAAATCAAACTGTTCTGTTTTTTTGTTGTTGTTTTTTTTAAATTTCTTTTTTGAAGGACATGCTCACACTGTTGACCTCCTCCACAGGGCAGAGGGGAAAGAGAAGCAGAGCTGGGGTCAGGTAGGACTCTGGCCATGGGTCCAGGACTCTTGATCCAGAGGGCAGGCTGGGCAGTGTGGGAAAGGCCTAGGGAACTTGAGAGGGGTTGGCAATCTGAGTACCCATCTGGCCTGCTTAAGCCAGTTTTCCCTGGCTTTTAGGAAAAACACATGCAAACACACCTGAGCAGGAAATTTTTCTGTCTTCCAGGAAGTAGTATGAATACTCATGTGTCCTGTGACCTTTTAAAAGGGAACTCAGCTCTTCTTTCTCTGAGAATGTACCTAAAGATGTTCTCTTTATCTGTTAGATGGGAGAATAAAGTGTGTTTATCTGAGCCCCTAGGGACTTGGGGGTGACTCCCTTGTTCCAGTAGATTATATTCTCCATTAGAGCAGGGGTCTGGCTTATCATGCTTACCACTGAATCTTAGAGCCTAGACCAGAGCCTGGCACACAGACATTCAGTAATTAAGTGGTGAATCAGCTAGTGAACAATTCAATAAGTACCTTTCTGTGTGAAGACAGTGTGCTAAAGCCTGTAGGGCAGTGATTCTCAAACTTGACTGTACATCAGAGGTAACTGGGGACCTGTAGAAACACCTCACTGTCCAGGCCACACCTCATTCCTCTTAAGTTAGAATCTTTGGGGGTGAGACTCAGGCATCAATGTTTTAAAAATCCTCCAGGTGATGTTAATGTGTAGCCAAGAATCAATCTATCTTAGTCTGCTTGGGATGCCATAACAAAACAACACAGATTGGGTGGCTTAAATTTATGGAGTCACAGTTTTGGAAGTTAGGACTTCAAGATCGAGATTCCAGCTGATTCAGTTCCTGACTTGCAGAAGGCCTCCTTCTCCCTGTGTCCTCACAGAGAGAGAGAGAGAGAGAGAGAGAGAGAGAGAGAGCGCGCACACTGATATCTCTTCCTCTTCTTTTTTAAAAAAAATATATTTTATTGATTTTTTACAGAGAGGAAGGGAGAGAGATAGAGAGAAACATCAATGAGAGAGAAACATCAATCAGTTGCCTCTTGCATACCTCCTACTGGGGATGTGCCCGCAACCAAGGTACATGTCCTTGACCAGAATCAAACCTGGGACCCTTCAGTCCTTAGGCCAACGCTCTATCCACTGAGCCAAACTGGTTAGGGCTCTTCCTCTTCTTGTAAGGACACCTTAGTGCCCAACTCTTATGACCTCATTTAACCATTGTTACTTCTTCACAGGCCCTGTCTCCAAATAAGTCACATTGAGGGTTGGGATTTTGACATGTAAATTGTAGGGGTGGGGCACAGACATTCAGTTCTTAAGGGTCTTTTTAAAAAAAAAAATATATATATATTTTTATTGATTTCAGGGAGGAAGGGGGGGGGAGAGAAACATCAATGATGAGAGAGAATTATTGATTGGCTGCCTCCTGCATGCCCCCACTGGGGATTGATCCTGCAACCGGGTATATGCCTTTGACGGGAATCGAACCGGGACCCTTTAGTCAGCAGGGCGAAGCTCTATCCACCGAGCCAATCCAGCTAGGGCTCTTAAGGGTCTTGAAACTCAAAGTGCAGCCAGTTAGAAATGCAGGCTCTCAGGTCCCACCCTAGAACTCTTGTATTAGAATCTGCATTTTAATAAGATCCCCAGGGAATTAATACAGACATTAGTGATTGGAAAGCACTGCTGTAGGCTGAGGGAAACAGAGAATAGGCTAATGCTTAGACTCCATGAGGTGTAGAGTAGGGGAAATGAGGCTTGGGCTGCCCTGACAGCCGGACCAGATGGTTTGGACTGACCTGAGCAGGCAGTGGAGAGCCATGCCAGGACCTCCAGCATGGGAGTGGTGTGATTAGAACAGTGTGGTGGGGAGGTGAGGCCCTGCTGGAGGGATCCAGTGTCTCAGAATGTCCCCTTCTCCTGCAGGTGCTGCTCCCAGCAGCCAGCTTGCTGCAGCTCATGGATGTTCGGCAGAACTGCTGTGACTTCCTTCAGTCTCAGTTGCATCCCACCAATTGCCTGGGCATCCGCGCGTTTGCAGATGTGCACACCTGCACCGACCTTCTGCAGCAGGCCAATGCTTATGCAGGTAATGGGGACTGGGCTGCCACACCTCCTCCAACCTTGTAGACTGAATAACCTGGCCGGCTGTGGACACCTCAAAGATTGTGAGAAGTGCACTCTGCTGCGAAGCAGCTATAATTCAGTCAGGGTCACAAGACACAGGTGGGAGGATCGTTAGCAATAGAAGAGTCCAGCTCATTGCCAAGTATAATATGATTAATTGTCAGATGGATAACACAGACAGTAATTTTCATGAGAGAAGAGGAAAGAGATCTGAGAAGACTTCCTGGGGGAAGAATAACTTGAGCTAGGTTTGAAATAAATCATTTTCTGTTTAAGAAGATTTCTATTTTGATCAAAGTGTTCTTTAAACAGGAGCTTAACAGGCAAATACTACTGTAAGGCCTGTGATGATAAGGAAGAGTCCCTGGCTCTGCCTTCCCACAGCAAGTCTTGCTCTCTAGAGGCACTCACTTCAATTCTAAAAAGAATGAAAATGCAGGCTCTGATTCAGCTAAAAGCTGTTTCATCTACTCTTTATCTCCACTTATCGAAACAATATGTTTACATCACTGTTTTTGGAATAGTTTTAGATATTATCTGCTGACTTCTCACAGAAGAATAAGATTGAACTTTCATAGACTTTCCCCTCATATACATACATCCTTCCCCTCTCTTTATTTCCTACAATCTTATTTCTACAACTGAACTAAGTTATGTATTATAATTATAGTTTTTTAAATCTAAAAACTTTTTTTAATCAGAAAGGCAGTAATAATTATGTTACTATTTCTGAGATACAAATGGGACCAGTTGTTAAGATGATCCTGATGATGATATTTGTGAAGGACATTCTCCAGATGCCCCAATTCTGAATTCTCCTGACTCCTCCTGGCTCTGAACCTCAGCTCTCCTGTCTCTCTGCTGTGCTTCCTGCGCCCCTGCCCCTGCACATTCCCCATGCCTTGCTGCTTTTTCTCAGGGAGACTTTCCTCTCTGTGGAGAGGGCTCTCCAGCCCAGTCTTTGAAGAGACCACTTTCTTGAGGCTTTGCTTCAGCAGGAGCCAAGAACTTGGCCAAGACCCAGGCCAGCTCATGAACATCTGCTGGTGCAGTGACAAAGGAAGAGGGCTTAGATGCCAGGAATTCCCTGACTCCCTTCCTGGTGTCGCTCCCCAGCCCTCTCCTTCCACACTGTGTGTGCATGCATGCCTGCACACACAGCACATATCCCAGCCTATTGTAGTTGGCCGAGAAGATCATCTCAGGTTTGGGGAGTGTGCTGAACCCTCACCTTTACCAAAGGCTCCCAGGCTCTTCTGGCCTGGCTTTTCCCCACTTTCAAAATCTGTGTTTTCTCCCCTCGCCCCTTTCATTGTCTGATGGTGAGACTCACCTGTAGGAGAGTGGGGAGGATGCATTTGGGAGCACAACGTTGTGGTGGTGCTCCCTGGTCCTCATGTCACAGTGATTGGGACCTGCCAGCATTGTGTGAGTGTGTGTGTGGAGGTTGTGCACACACGTGTGAATGCAGAAATCCTGATGAATTATTTCTAGCTAGTGTTTATTTTGAGCTCTCACTTTGGGTCACACCCATGCTCACCATTTTATGTGTCATCTCATTTAATGCGTACAACAGCTAAGGAGACTAAGGCATGGGCAGGTGAAGTTATTTGTTGGAGTCACACAGCTGGTAAGGACAGAGGCAGGTTTCAAACCCAGACAGTTTGAGTCCAGAGCCAGTGATTATAACTACTGCATACTATGCTTGCAGGCCCTATTTGCACATAAGGCAGCCCTGTGGATTGCTAATTGAGGAGTATGGTGGCTAGAGCTGGCATTTTCCATTAGAAGTGTGAGCCTGGAAGCCTGTGCCACATAGTCAGATGCCAACAACCAGACAGTGTAGACAGACGACCAGCTGTCTCTGCTAGACATAGGCTGTTTAGTCATCTTCTTGTGGGGAAGTGAGACGTGGATGTCTTCTCTTCCATGTTGGGAGGTGGCCAGCCCCCTCACTGCATGTGTGAGCCCTCCTATTTTCCCTGCTCTGTCGGTGTGACTTCAGGCTGAGAGCTTCTCCCTGTTGTACAGGCCTTCCCTGGAGCCTGCGACCATGTCCCGGTACAGGTTTCTTTGCAGCCCACAGGGAAGTCACGGAAATGCAGAGGTGGTAAGACCATGATGAAAAGACGTTAGAAGCAGCAGTGTGAAGGTAAATTGTACAGTGTTGGGAAGGAAGTGTATAAGGATTATCTTTGCTTACTCCCTCAGTGGTTTGCATCCACCCACTGATGTGGGCTGCTGTGTTTCTTTGGTCTTGCACCTCCTCACTTGAGGTGGAATCTGGCACTCTCTGCCCTCACTGCCTCTTGAGAGCTGCTGCCTCGCCCACTGTAAGTGTGGAGGTGTGGGCACCCACTAGGGTCACATAAAAGGGGCAGTGCCGGCCCTTGTAGTCACCGGCTTCTCTGGCCCCCTGCCTCACATTAGTGGGGGTTTAAGCCAACCCACTACAAGGAGACCCTCCAGATCAGAAGTAGGGGTCAGACCAGCCAACACTGGAGCAACCCCTACGCCTGTTTTCTCCTCTCTATGATGGGGGAAATACATCCTGCCCCGTTTTCAGGATGGTTTGGGGATTGGGCAGGACAGGGAGGAGAGCCTCCTGCAGAAGTAGGCACCACCCATGGCCATGCTCTGGAGCGTCCCTTCCAGCCTCACCATCCGCAGTGAGAGAGCCTCAGAGCTGGGTCCTGGCAGAGAGAGGGACTCCCTGGGACATCACCGCTGCTGTTGCTGCGGACATCATGTACTTTGGGGAGAGGACCATTTCCAGAGCTTCTGATTTTGGTTTCTCTGTATCAGGTGCACAGGTATATCCTGCTTTCCCACCTTGCCTAGTCTCTGGTTAGCTGGCCTCTGCTCTCACTTGTTCATGGTCCCAGCTTTGCCTGTGAATTCTGTTCCTAGTCCTTATCCAAGACAAATTTTCTTTTGCTGTTATAATTATTATTGCTATTGTTATTGCTATCTAATAAAAAATCACCCATACTTATTACAGAAAAAGCAGACAGGCAGAAAGAGCAGGAAAAACACCACAATCCTACCCAGAGAGAACCATGGGCAGCACCTAGCATAGAGCTTTCTGTCTTTTTTATCTGTTGTATCATATGGATGCACTATAATTTTTTAACCCCAGTCCTTAATTAATGGGTACTAATGTTCACTGTTTTTTCTTTTATATAAAATGTTGAGTGAGAAATTTTCTACGTAATATTCTGGAGTACACTTGCTAATATGTAAGTAAGATTATACCTGTAGTTTACCATCTTAGTGGCATACAGTAGCTCAAAGGGAGTATGCATTAAAAATTTTTGATAGATATTGACAAATTGCACTCTAAAAAAATGTAACCATTTTTAAAGCCAGCTCTTGCCTTCTGATGGTTAGTCCTTAGTTCCTTGATGAAGGCACCGAGGGGCAGACAACAGTGGGACTCTGAGGGGCGGGAGCACCACCTCTCCACCCAGCTGCCTGTTTGCTTTCCTGTTTAGAATGGCCTTGTCTTTTCCCGGGTCTGGTTTTCCCCTCAAGGTTATGCCCCCAGGTGTTTGCTGTGATACGTTATTCTGGGGTGCGGAGGGTATCCTGTATTTGGAACTGACCGCCCATGCTCTTGTCCCCAGTTGATGGTATCAGAGTTCTCCTGGGTAGCTAGTAGCTGGGAAAGGGACCTGAGTATTTTGCACAGCTTGTTTCTTATAACTCATTATTGTTTCTAGGGACAGTTTAATCTTTAACCTCAGAGGCCAGGACAGGTTTATGGGGATTTTGTTGTTTGGTAATTGGATGGCCATGCACTGGGCCATCAGCAGAGCTGGTTGGGAGGGATGTTAATGAGACCCCATTAATGAAATGGCAATAAAAATTCCTTGGGCATGTTGTTTACATCAGTCTGCCAAAGCTGAGCTGAAACCCTCCAGCCATGGGATGGAAAAGCCATGGGATTGAATGTGTTTGTGGAGAGAAATGGCCTTTTTTCGATTAATTGAGTCTTTTGAGATCATGGAATGAAGTGATTAAACTAAGGGCAGCAAAAAACTTTGACAAATCATTTAAGAAACACCAACCTCTGACTCAGTGAGGGTTGTCTTAATGAAATTGCTGCCTTCAACTTGGCATCATAAGATGATGATGATGATATGATGATGATGGTAGGAGTTTCTGCCATTTCTGAACACTTGGCTAGGTTCCAGGCCTGGTGCTGTGCAGTTAATAGGCACGTAACTATGAGAGGTAGTTATTCTTTTCCCAATTTATAGATGAAGAAACAGGAACTTCAGAATGTTTAGTAACTTGTCCAAGATCACCTAGTTTGTAAGTGGCAATGGCAAGATTCATGATGAGGCTGTCTGAACCAGGGCCTGTGCTCCAAGCCCACTACTTATTTTCACACCCACCAGGCCAGTTCAGCCTCTCTCTGCATGGTGGTCGCCTCATTCCTGCTCTGCCTGATTTTCTGCTTCTAACTTGAAGGTGGTAAATGAAGCCTTAGAGCAGACACAGGCAGTCTGTGTTGTTGGATGGTCTCCTTATTGGGATTTTAGGAAGCTTCCCTTAGTCCTCCCATTCTCTGGGTAACAGGGAACTCTGGTGTTGAATCAATAACAATGATGACCAGGCAGTTTTGATACAGCCTGTTGCTCCCTCCCCCCCCTCCCCCCCCACAGTTATAGAGAAAGGAGGAGGGACCATATATATATCTTTCTGGAATTAAGTCAGTATGGTAAAGAGCTCATATCCCATCATCCCCAGGGAAGGTGGAGGTAGTAACATCTAGAGTCTGAGGGTCGGTAGTTATGACCCATGTGGGAAGACGTCAAGGTAGGTCTCTGTTACTTCCCTGTGGGAGCTGAGCCTTCTCCCTGGGGCAGGGAAACTGTGGGCCCTGAGAGCCAAATACTGACTTACGAAGCTTACCTCTGTTCTCCACAAATAGGGCAAAAGGGGGCAGGAGAGAGA